TACTTATGCTTAGCGTCATTATTTCTTTCATTATGTCTGAAGTCCATGTAGAGTGCGCACATTCGTGCACACAAACACATATAGAGATATAGATAGATATGTAGATAGAGATTTACATATATAATTATATGTATGAATATATGTATGCATGCCTGTATGCATAGATGCATATTTAGACTTTATTCTACCGCGCAAACGCCCTACTGATGGACTGTCATTTCAATCACAATCTCCGAAATGCCTTCCAAAGAGCCATGAATTAATTTCTATCTAATCTTTATGCATACCTCTTGGTGTAACAGGATAATTACAAATACTAAATCATGCATCTGAAAAGCAAAGTAAAGGCCCTGAAATCGTTGCTACTTCCGTGATATCTTGCAATATATAGGAGAAATGTAGTAGCGTACATCCGAGTTGTGATTGCATGAGTCCTTGTGCTGTGCTGAGGCCATGGGGCGGGGCTGCCGGCGTGCACGCGGCCCGACTTTCCTTTGCTCGTGTTGTTCTCTCCTGCTCGGTGCTCCGCTGCTGTGCCGCCTCCCTCCCTCCCTCTCCCTCTCCCTCTCTCTCTCTCTCTCTCTTTCTCTCTCTCTCTCTCTCTCTCTCTCTCTCTCTCTCTCTCTCTCTCTCTCTCTCTCTCTCTCTCTCTCTCTCTCTCTCTCTCTCACTTCTCTGTTCCCGCTGTACCGCATGCACTATCTTTGAATTCGGCTCGAAGTATATGCACGGGCAAGTGGCGAGAGTTGCTGCAACTAAGGCAAGGAACGAGATTCAGGACAGATTATTGAGTAATTGTGTGTTTATCAGGTCGGCTGCCGGGGCCCTCAAATATCAAGTCTCAATAGATGACAAGTTCGACGGAGCCTGTTGTCTTGTTTCTAGGATCAGCTCTTGTTCGAAGGCGAGTTACTGCGGGGAGAAGCGAGAGAAAAATTCGAGGTAACTTGATGATGGTTTGTTTTGGCAAGATGGGTTTGGGTTATGAGCGTCTTGGTCGAGTTCTCATATTTTTCTCCTCATTTTCCTTTTGGTGAACTTATTTCCATTGCTCCTCTTTATTCTTTCCTCCTCCTCCTTATTTTTCTTCATCTTTTTCTCCTTCTTCTATTTCTTTTTCTTCATATTCTCCTCCTCCTCCTCTTCTTCTTCTCCTCCTCCTTCTTCTTCTTCTTCTTCTTCTTCTTCTTCTTCTTCTTCTTCTTCTTCTTCTTCTTCTTCTTCTTCTTCTTCTTCTTCTTCTTCTTCTTCTTCTTCCTCCTCCTCCTCCTCCTCGTAAGCGGCAATACATATAACCAATGAAATGTTAACACGAAATTCTGCGATGATAACTTGTACAAATAATAAATGCCTTTTCGAAGTTAGCCATTCCAGCTAATCAGCAGTTTTACTACCCAGGTAAGATTATTCAATTATCATTACTTTTTTTTTCTTTATCCGATGAGGCTTCACCCTATCTACGTCTGATTTTACTTTGCACTCACGCATGTCTCATCTGCTTGTAAAGTAAAAAAAAACAAATTTAACGTTCTCAGATTGTGTAATACGTTTATATACACAAATATTCAAGAGACAATAAGCCCATCTCGTATTATCATCGCTGTAGTTTCTGAGGAGTGATGAATCTCCTAAATCGAAGAAGTTAACAATAATAATGAAATGGGAGAAGAAATGGGCGCATGGGGGCGGATAAATTCTTAATAGGCCTAACGAGACATCTTGAGACGAGAGCTACGCACGTTTTTCCGTCGTTTTATCTTGGTGGGATTTTATTTATTATTATTATTATTATTATTTGTATTATGTCCGTTGTAAAATATGCTGATTCATATTTTATTTTCGTCGAAATGTAGATAAATGCGTAGATATCAACATTTACAAATGAGCAAGTGATAAAATGGTAAGGAAGTGTCCAAGCTAATGAACGTAACAAACATTTTATATCATTTTGACGTAAAAAAAAATAGAAATAGACATAATTTTGGCAAGTAATTCAAATATTATCTAATTCAAAGTCAAGTGTTTGGAAATGTGACCGGAAATTGCACCCGTTTTTTTTTATCGAAATTATATTTTTTTTTCATGAAGGAGTTACAATGAGAAAAAAAAAATATTGTTATTATTTTTAAAGCGGTTGTTTCATTTCATCTCAATAATAACGTTCTTTTCACTGTTTGTGCACATTTTTTTCTTCTCTTCGTACGGGGCTAAACATTTAATACCCGAAAAAGGTGATTGAATATTAATGGATGTGTTGATTAATGCAACTTTAACTTATTCGATATGTATTATCATTATTATCTTTTAATTCTTACCACAATATTTCTCAAACGAAATTAGGCCTACAACACACAGCAGATTCAGAGTGAAAAAAAAATCAAGAAAGAAAATAAGATAATATGGAAAATTGAAATACTTTTAGTCATAATTATTAGTGAATGGTGCTTGCTCTTTTAATACCATAGTGCTGATATGTCTGCTGCGTACACGCATATATGAATATATGTATGTACATAAATACTACAGTGTGTGTGTATGTGTGTGTGTGTGTGTGTGTGTGTGTTTGTGTGTGTGTGTGTGTGTGTGTGTGTGTGTGTGTGTGTGTGTGTGTGTGTGTGTGTGTGTGTGTGTGTGTGTGTGTGTGTGTGTGTGTGTGTGTGTGTGTGTGTGTGTGTGTGTGTGTGTTGTGTGTGTGTGTGTGTGTGTGTGTGTGTGTGTGTGTGTGTGTGTGTGTGGGGTGTGTGTGTGTGTGTGTGTGTGTGTGTGTGTGTGTGTGTGTGTGTGTGTGTGTGTGTGTGTGTGTGTGTGTGTGTGTGTGTGTGTGTGTGTGTGTGTGTGTGTGTGTGTGTGTGTGTGTGCGTGTGTGTGTGTGTGTGTGTGTGTGTTTGTGTGTGTGTGTGTGCGTGTGTGTGTGTATGTATGTATGTATGTATGTATGTATGTATCATTCACAAAACACCATCTGCTCTCGACCTCTCCCATAATTCTCTCAAATATGGATTTAACATAGCATAAAACACATTTTACCCCCCATTCCCCTCCCCCTCTCCCTCCCCCCACAAGCCAAATACACGGAGCAGCGGCAAAGGTATCCAGGCACCGAGGACCGAGCGCCGAACGACAATGGAGTGCGAAAGCCTTGGACAGATCGGTTCTCACGCTCTGTACCGGCCACGCTTTGTCTCCCGGGATTCGGAGTCGCTTTGAGGGCTAGATCTGCATTTGCCGGGATTGGCCTGTCGCCGGCGATGCAGCTCTTTTCATGCGCCCTCTGTGTCTATCTCGTTAACTCGACTTCGCTGTCTGTCTGTGTCTTTGTCTGTGTCTGTTTCTCTGTCTCTGTCTCTCTAAACACACACACACACACACACACACACACACACACACACACACACACACACACACACACACACACACACACACACACACACACACACACATATATATATATATACATATTATATTATATTTATATTTATATATATATTCATTCCTACATTTATATACACATACACATGCGCGTGCGTCTGTCTGTATTCCTTAGTGGTTGGTTATAGTTTTTGAAATAATAGTTATTCAGTTCTATAACTTTATTTTAACCGTAAAACTGACCAGAATGAGATCGTCTGGGTAAATGTATCAGTTTACACCCACACAAACAAATGTTCTTCAAGAGATATATATTACCAACCTCAAAATTGTTCTCTTGATTGATTTTGCTAATGAACAGAGTATCTACCAGTGTATCATTGTTCACTCCAGCGATTTTTCACAGTGGAATGAACATATTACCATAACGAACTTCATGTCAGATGTCAGGGAAAGTTTTACTGATGAATACTTCAGTCCTTTGAAATACGGTCATTTATTTAGTTGTTTGAGTGATTTGCGTTGTTATTGTTTTTTTTTTTTTCTTTTTTTTTGTGATAGTAGATATTGCGTACATGATTGTATGTTTTGCAGATTAGGTATTTTGGTTATTTATTAGTGTAAGTGATTGTTACGGTATCGCTTTGGATATCAGTACAGGAACTGACTGCGGGTTATTCGAATACAACCGCTTGAGAACTTTCTTTTCTTCGTTTAAAAATTACCACACAAACGCACACATGCACCTACGCGTGTACCCAAACACCCACCCACCCAAGCATTCTCGCACCGACCCACGCACCCGCACGCACGCACCCACCTACACACGCACGTATCTACGCATGCACGCGCGCACCTACCCCGCTACACACACACACACACACACACACGCACACGCACACGCACACGCACACGCACACGCACACGCACACGCACACGCACACGCACACGCACACGCACACACACACACACACACACACACACACACACACACACACACACACACACACACACACATACACACACACACACACACTCACACACACACACACACTCACACTCACACTCACACTCACACTGTATATATATATATATATATATATATATATATATATATATATATATATATATATATATATATATATAAACATATAGATATGGTAATACATACATATGTATCATACAATTCGTAAAAACGCATAGAGAACGTGTGAAATTTTGACATTTTTCCATTCATTTCTCCTAGTGTTGTGTGAACCTCGCTATTTAATGTATCTTATTTAAAAAATGATCAATATCGAGCTGCAGCCTGAACATCTCTTGATAAATGTCTATGCAATAAATCATCAATGATAAAATAAAAACCATATAACCCATTTAGCGACTCCTTAAAAAAGATCAGAGGAGGCAACCTGAATCGCAATACTTCAAATAACTCCAATTTTAAGCTTGGAAAGAGGCCAAAATGCTAATAAAATACGATAGAAAGCCTATCATAAACACAGCAAAGCTACAAAAAGGAGGAGATTTACAGAGAGAAGCGATTAAGACACTAAAAAAAGGTAAAAAAATAAAGTTAATTGCGAGCGCCGGCATTGACACGTGTTAGTCGTCGTCACGTAAACAGAAGGTTCCTCGTCGGTGCCCAAGGAGGACGTGTTATTATCCTCTTTATTATAAATATTAATAGTTATTATAAAACCACGCCCTTTTTTTGGGAACTTTTTTTTTAATGGACACGTGTTTCTATGAGGACACACCCTTGTCTTCAGTGAGAGGAAGCCCGCAACGACACCCCCTTTTTTTGGACACGTCAGGACACCAGGACACGCCCCAAAGCAAGACCTCAGGGGCCACTCCACGAGCGGGACGAATGCCGTAGGAAATTTAATAGATAACAGTTAATAGATAACAGTTAATAGGATAGGAATTTAAGTGAATAGATGCACAGTAGTAAAGGAGGGAAGCTATAGCCTTGATTGGAAGGCAGCTGCTTCCATGTATTGATGTGTGCCTTTCTTCTTCTTCTTCTTTCTTCTTTTATAGGGTTTTAGACTATTGTCTAGTCTATATCCCCTGGATCTATTTTCTTTCTTCTTTCTTCTTTCTTTTCTTTATATTATTTCTATTAGTTTCGTTTTTTCTTTAAGAATATTTTTGTGTGTCTTAAAATGTAGTCCTTTATTGGTGGGAGATCAGCACCTGTGAGTAATAAGTCTATATTAGGATTATTTATTTTGATTCTTTTTAAAGCTTCCATCAGGTCTGTTCTGTAAGAGTGAAATCTTGGACACTGTAGTATTATATGTTGTATGTTTTCTTCTTGGTGATGACACCATCTGCATGTTGGGTCATTTACTATTTTTACTTTATGTAGATGTTGGTTTAATCTTGTGTGTGTTGTTTTGAGTCTGGTTATACATACATCTAGTTTTCTGTTTTTTGTTCTTGACTATGGTTGGAGTTCTATGTTTTTTAGAAGGTAATTTTTTGTATTAAGGATTGTGTTTGATTGTGTTTTCCATTTTTTTAAATATTCTATTCTTATTTGTTTTATCTTTTTTCTTTTGTCCTCATGTACGGTTATGGGGTTTATGTTATGCGCATGTTTTGCCACTTGATCAGCTATTTCGTTACCTCTTATGTTTTTATGTGATGGTATCCACTGTATTGTTAGTATCTGATTTTGGCTTGTAAGTGTATATATCATTGCCTGTATTTCAAATATAGTGTGTTTATAGTTTTTTGGTTTTGGGTTTGATATTAGCTGTAAGGCTGATTTTGAATCTGAAAATATTACTGATGTTATCAATCTATTATTCTGGATATAGGTAATTCCTTGTTTTATTGCGAAAAGTTCAGCCTCTATTATTTCTGTTTCATCAGGTAATTTCCATATTGTTGTTATCTTTTTATCTTGGATATATATAGCTGCTGAGGTTGAGTTTGTGCTTAATATTGAACCATCTGTGAATATTTTTTTGTAATTTAAATATCTTGTGTTTTCCAACTTTATAAATTGACTCTTTATTATTTGTTCGAGGACATTTCTTGTCAGTTCATCTAAGAAGTTAGTTTCTATGTTTTTGTAATATCAAACCAAGGTGGAATGGGGTTACGTTTGATATTGTTTTTGCTTTTATTGTTATATTTAACTCTTTGCAAGTTTCTATTACTCTGTGTACTAGGCCTCTCTTACCTTTTTCAGGGTTACATATTTCTATATTTGCTGTTACATTTCTTTTCATTTGGTTATTCTCTTGTTTTTCTAATATTTTCATCATTTGCATACATTCCAATTCTTTTTGTTTGTATTTGATGGGCATTTTATTTATGAGAGTGTATAAAGCTAAGATTGGGGTGGTTTTTAAGCAGCCTGTAGCAATTCTTAGTACATTATTTTGTATAATTTCTATTTTTTTCATATCTGTGTTTTTGGCTGTTCCGAAGGTTGAGATTCCATATTCTATTTTGGGTTTTATATAAACGTCATAGAATTTTATCATAGTTTCTCTATTTGCTCCCCATGTTGTTGAAGATATTTTTTTCATTATGTTTATTCTTTTAGAGTAATTTACCTTTAGATTATTAATTTGATTTTTCCAAGTTAATCTGGGAGCATCAAATTCTAGACCAAGAATTGTGTGATTAGTTGTGAAAGTGAGTGCTTTTATTGTCTATTTGAATCATTGGTATTTGTCTTATTCTTTTTTTTTGTAAAGCACATGAGTTTACTTTTTGTTAAATTTATTGTTAGTTACCATTTATTTGCCCATTCTATTATTTGTTTTAATCGTAGTTCTAGTTTGTTTTTAGCCTCTTCTAGATTATTATTTATGGCCATAATTGTTATGTCATCTGCATATGTTACTTTTTTTTTAATTCGTCCATTAGGGTTAAATCTGATATCATTATATTGAACAATAATGGACTTAGGGGTGAGCCTTGAGGGAGGCCCTGTTCTATGTTTTCTTCTGTTGATTTTTTGTTTCCTATAACTAATTGGTAGGTTCTGTTTTTTAAGAAGTCTATGATCCACTTGAGTGGGGCACCTGTAATTCCTAGTTTTGCTGCTTTTGTTACTATTGCTTCATGATTTATTGAATCAAAAGCTTTTTCCAGATCTAGGCAAGCTATTAAAGCATATTTTTCTCTTCAAAAGCTTTGTTAGTTTGATATTCTATTAATTGTAGGACGTCTATCGTTGAGCTATTTGGTGTAAATCCTGTTAGGTCTTCATTTAATTTTTTGTTGATTTCTAACCACCAGTTTAGTCCATTGGTTATTATGCTTTCGAATATTTTCCCTAAGCATGATATTCTACTTATGTAGCTATACGATTTTTTATCTGATGGATCTTTACCTGGTTTTATTATAGGATTTACTAATGATTTTTTTAGTTCTTTTGGATATTCTCCTTTTAACCAGTAATTTTTAAGTATTGATAAGATTTTTTCTAATATGTTTTGGGGACATTGTTTGAAAAATTCATATGGAATTTCGTCAGGTCCATAGGCTTTTCCGTTTTTTTATTTTTTTATTACTGAAGTTAATTCCTTTTACCCATTGCCGCCGGGGATGGCATGTACGTACATGCCATGCCCACTGTGAGTCGACTTGTTCGATTGTTTTTACACATAAATGGCTTCACTTGTGCTAAGTATCCAATGAGCCAATTACGAGTACTGCCTGTCTCGCCCGTTCACCCTTTTCATCGATTTACGAAAATATTTAACGTTATCCTAATTTGCTGTTAAAAATAACATCATCTATATTTATAGCACTAGTAAAAATACGTTTTTTCCCGCCAATTCAAGGAAAGGAGAAATCAGGACTAGCAGAGCCATCTATGGACAGAGATATTTCACAAAAATATAAAAAATGAGTACTGCATTTCCCCCATTTTTTGTTCATTTTCCGGCAATGGGTTAAAGTAAGATTTTTGCTTATTCCTTCAGTGTTTGTTTTATCTGTCAGGTTCTTTATTTCTGTTTTTATTAGCAATCTTTTTGTTTTTTGTTTATTGATTTTTGGAATTCTTCTTTTAGCACATTGAGTTTTTGCTCTGTGTCTTGGATAGGTTGATTATTAACAATAAATGGGTATGTATTAATTCTATTTTTACCATCTAGTTTTTTAATGAAATTCCAAATCTTTCTGGATGGAATGTTAAAGTCCAGAGACGAACAGAAGTTTTCCCAACTATTCTTTTTTTTGGTTTCAATTATGGTTCTTGCTTTAATTTGAAGCTTTTTGAATTCAATTCTATTAACGTCATTTGGGTTTTTCCTCCATCTATTAAAGGCTTTATTTCTTTGTTTTATTATTTCTTTATATTTTTGATTCCACCAGGGTTTGCTTGGTCTATTTTTTTTTAGCTTTATTATCAAATTTAAAATATTTTTTACCAGTGTTTTTTTGTTAAGTCTAACATTTCTTTTATTGAATTCATGTCCTTGATGTCTTTGTTCTCTATTTCTTCTTGGAAGTATCTCCATCCTTCTTTACTGAAGTCCCATTTTTTTTCTATTGTATGTGATTCGTTTTTATGGCTGCAGTCTTTTATTACTATTGGGAAATGGTCACTACCTGAGTTTGAGTGTGTACTTATTTCAAAATGACTTAGTTCAGGAGATCCTATTACAAAGTCTATAGTAGCACCTTTCCCTGTTTTTGGATCTATTCTGGTGATTAGTCCCGTAGGAGTTATTAACATCAGATTATATTGAGTTATATAATTAAACAAATTTATTCCCGTTATATTTGCAGTTTTTGTTTTTTTCTGTGGATTCCATGACGGGTGGTGGGCATTAAAATCACCTATTATTAACTTTGGGTTATCTAATCGTTCTATGTAATGATCTAATTCTGTTTGTTCTATTTTATTGCATGGGTTATAAATTGAAATTAAATTTAGCCATTTATTCTTGTAGCTAATTTTCTTAGCTATTTTTTCTATTTTGTTATTCTGTCTTTCAATAAGGATTATTCTCTTGTAAACTATTGTGTATACAAATTGCAAGGCCTCCTCCCCTTTGATCAGTTCTATCTTTGCTTTCTATTGAGTAATTGTTTATCTTAAAATTATCATTTTTTGTTAACCAAATTTCGCAAATTGCGAATACTTTTGGATTTTCTTTATCTGTTAGTAAGTCTATTTCGGTCTTTTTATTTAAAATGGACCTAGCATTCCAGAGTAATATACTATCCATATATATAATCCATGATGTTTTTTATGATTGGTACTGCTTCTGTAATGTTCTCGGAAATGGTTATGATTAAGGATTTATCTGATTTTAAGTTTAATGCTATGTTTCATATTAGATTGATAATTCTTTTTACTATTTCAATCCATGAAGGTTTATTTTCTTCATGTTCAAGTCTTCTTTCTGGTGTTGAGGATTTAGTTAGGGGCGTTGGCAGTGACCATGTTGTTGGAGAATTTACTTGGTCTTTGTTTTTCGTATTATGATCGTTTGTGGGTTTTTGTTCTTTTGTTTTTTCAAGTTTTGATTTCTCTGGTGGGATAAGTATGTCTGGTTCTTTTTGGTTTGCGTTGTTTTTTTGTTTTGTAGGCATTTTCTGGGCTGGAGTTATGTTGTGTGTTTGTGTTAACGTTTGTGCAAATGTTTGGGTTACATTTGGGTTTGTTTGTTGTATGTTGTTTTTGTTGTCCTTTGTTTGTTGATAGTGTTCTGAATCTGTGTTGTGTATCTCGGCTATTGTTATTATATTGTTTTTGTTGGGTATTATTTTTGTTTTTTTGTGTTGTTGGGTTCAACTGATGAAGAAGTTTCTTTACTTCTAGGTTGTTTGGTGTAGTGTTTTTTTTTGCTTATTTCTTGTGCTTGTATACGTACCTGACATGTCCTGTCATATACTTGGTGGTTACCTTTACAG